CACATCATATACATGCACATATATATAAAGATATTCTTTATTGTAGGTGAAAGAGAGATGCCAAACTTTGCTTTCTTTACTTCAGAAAATGATGTAAATGTATATATGTATATTATGAAATCTGTGATTTTGTATATAATAAAAGGGTAAACCTTCGGATGAGCTGCATATTCGAAACGAAACAAACGACCACGTGTTTTTGATGTATTTTTGGCTCCTGAAAACAAATATGACAGCAGAAATTGGCGCTCGGCCGTATCTTGGCCGCAATTTCGAAAAAACATCGAAAAAAACGTGATTTTTTTTAGTTTTTTGTATTTATTTCGAAAAATGCAAATCGTATGAAAAAATGTTTCAAACAAAAAATGCAGAGCGGAAAATCCTCTACAAATAAGGTTTGATACACTTTTGTCGTATCTTGTATAATAAACGCGTAATCCGTAGTTAAAGTACCCAACTTAATCAATTAGGTTTCTCGCAAGTGAAATGTGCCGAAATTTAGTATATATGAGGACGTGATTCGCAGGCATTTTATACAGTATCTTATAGATATATCTAGTCATAATCCATTAAATTAATAACCATTAATAACCCATGTGGATAGTAGGATGTATAGACAGTAATGCTTGGGTTCGGGCGGCTACGCCGCCCGAACGAAATAGAATAACATAACCTACCCGCTTGGGGCCTAACCGCCTAGAAGTTACAGCTGAGACAGTGTCTGCTTGGAATATTCCTAACCCAATGAAGACAGTGGGGTGTGAGAAGACTTTTTAAAGACAGTAAAAACCCATTTGGAATTCTCACCCCAAATATCAATGGGTTAAAAATATTCCAAGCAGACACTGTCTCAGCTGTAACTTCTAGGCGGTTAGGCCCCAAGCGGATAGGATGTTATTTTATTTCGTTCGGGCGGCGTAGCCGCCCGAACCCAAGCATTACTGTCTATACATCCCACTATCCACATGGGTTATTAATGGATTATGACTTTAAATTTCGTGCACTCTTACCGAAAAGTACGTACAACGCATGCACATGTGATCACAGAGCATAAACGTGTAAGTAAAGGCCGCACAAACGTGTAACTAGTCACTTTCATCGCTGTTTTACGGGCTTCCTTTTGTGATTAGGACAAAAATGTGTAGAATCTTTTTTATAGAGAATTTCATGCTCTACAATTTTTGTTTGAAACATTTTTTTGTACGATTCGTATATTTCGAAATAAATGCAAGAAACTTAAAAAAATGTCGTTTTTCAGCTGTTTTTTCAAGATTGCGGCCAAGATACGGCCGAGCGCCAATTTCTGCTGCCATATTCGTTTTCAGGAGCCAAAAATACATCAAAAACACGTGGTCGTTTGTATGATTTCGAATATGCAGTTCATCCGAAGGTTTACCGATAATACGGCTAATTGGTTCATGTACTGGCTTAAGATCATCTCGAATCTTGAGCAACGTCTATGGATTCCGTCTAGAACGTCTTATAAGTTAGCGGAACAAAATGAGCGGAATCGATTCTAACTAACATTTTTATTTGTTGCTCATTTGTTGCTAAAAAGTTGTCAAAGAAAAAAATTTGTTGCTCTGTCGGTTTATTTAAAAAAACGATGTTTCGCTACAAGAAGATTCAGTTAGCGGAACAATACCTACAACAAAGCCAATCTACGCAGAAATAACGTAGGAATTTGTTGCTAATTTGTTGCTGCCGAAATAACATTTTTTTTAATACTTTACATATTAAAAAAGTGTAAATAACAACGAGAAGCCTCAGCGTGCGGGCGGAAGAAGAGTAAAGTATCAGTAAAAGATTTGTTGCTCATTTAAAATATACTCCTTTCTTGCTTGGAGAAATTTGACGAAATCCTTATGCTTAATTCACACTGGACGCAGCAAGCATCAAAGCATCAAGCAGCGGAGCAGCAACCAATCAGCAAGGTGATATTGTTTACGCTACTGTAAATATTGCCTAATGCGGGGTCTACAATAGAAGTCGTAGCGGTCGTAAGGTCTTAAGTCGTAGAAAATTGACCAATCACAGTTGATTATTCTTCTCATATTCGACTAGAACCAACTTCATGCGGGATCTACATTAGAAATCGTAGCGGTCGTAGGGTCTTAAGCCTTGTGTCCACGATGCTAGAAATTGGTCCGAGATCTCGGAGAGAGAAAGAATTAACCAATCACATTTAAACAATTTAGTCACATGATCAATGCGATTGGTCAATTCTTTCTTCATCCGAGATCTCGGATGGATTTCTAGCATCGTGGACACTGGGCTTTAAGTCGTAGAAAATTTACCAATTACAGTTGAGTATTCTTCTCATATTCGACTGTGATTGGTCAATTTTCTACGACTTAAGACCTTACGACTGCTACGACTTCTATTGTAGACCCCGCATGATTGGTCAATTTTCTACGACTTAAGACCTTACGACTGCTACGACTTCTATTGTAGACCCCGCATTACTGATTGGTTGCTGCTCCGCTGCTTGACGGTGCTGCGTCCAGTGTGAATTAGGCATTATGGCCAGTCTGATTAAAGGGTCTCTAATTTGGTGTATGTACACCTCTTCTTTATTACACCATGGAGGTAAATATTCGTCTGCACTGTGGTGTTTTCGCCAGCTTTTAATTGGCGTTAGCAATATAGAAGTATTATATACTATATATGGTTATTAGTTATTCATACAGTTTTTCCCTGGACTGTAGAATTTATAAAAATTATTTTGCTTTGAAATTGTTAGAAATATAAATTTCTATTCGCCTAATATATATTATTGTAATATAAAAGAGAGAAAGAGAGAGAATATATTAGGTAATTTTTTATATAACCTTATTTAACCTAAAAGTATTGTTTATATATGCATTATTTAAGTTTGCAATTATATTTACAAATTTTATGCAGAAAGATCAAATTTGAGAAAAGAAAAGAAAAACGATCACACCTCTAAGTGAAACTATGTCGCAAGATTCAGCCCGAAAAATCACAAAATCTAACGTGGTATGTAATTTATTATAGAGCTATGACACATACTTAACAGATAATAATATTGTAAATTATATAGTTCTAATTATATTGAGAGCTACAATTGTGACTTTTTAGGATAAAGCTAGACAACTTGTAATGAAACGTGATGTGAAGAGAAAAAGGCAACGAGATATAGAAAAAGTCACGAATGATCATAAAGTTACTTATTATTGTAAGAGATTTCAAGGTGATAAGAGAAGTAGGACATCACTTGTAGGATTTTCAAAGAATTTAGCATTGTTAGAGATGCAATCTTATATCGCCCGTCAAGATTGGAAACATGCATTAAATTTATTTCCTAGACTTCTCGAATGTCCTGTTGAATTAGAGCCTTTAATATGGAGATATGCATTTATAATTTTATTACATACGAATGATCCATTACATCTCCATCAATTTTTCAATCAATGTATTGGTAGTCACAATTCAAATAACAGCACTTTATTAGAAAAGTTATTGTTATTACCTCTAGAAGATGATAATTCAAGGTAGTCTATTACATTATATTGGCATATTCGTGTTAAGTCAATATACAGTATTTGTCAGATACAAATCTTTGTACAATTGTATTACACCTGATTATACTATATGCTGTACTGTAAGCTCTTCATATGCAGGACTGGCACATATTTGAAATACTTTTATTTAAAACACAGTTTTTGCAATACAAGTACATTTTGTATTTTGTATTTCAGCAGAGCACATGAAAGTATTATGTATTTTGTATTTAAAATAAAAATAATCAGCATATACAAATATCAATCAGACTTGAAACACAAAATACAAAATATTTGCATGTACGCTGTTGAAATGCACAATACAAAATACAATTGTCTTATAAATACTGTTTTTCAACTAAAAATATTTCAAATATATGCCCAGCCCTGCTCATATGTTCTTTAATAGTGCCTCGAGCGATTATTTTTATACATAATTATAACTATATATAAACATTGAATAGAAAAGCAATTGATGAAATTATATTCGAAGTATTGTACAGTCATATATCTTTGTGATAATCTTACACTTTTTATTCATTGTCATCAATTTCTGTCTGTAATTCACTGATGTAACCATGATTTTAAGATAAAGACTTGAGATACTTATATAATTCTATTAATAGAGATACATTATTTACAAATATCTTTTGATTATATTTGTTCAAGCACTCGATATTAGTACCGATACTTAAAAAATCTTTAAACACATGTTTTAATTTTTACAATTTTTAAAAGGAATTTACTGGAAATAACAATATATTTCTATGTGTATGTATGTGTGCGTGTATGATATTACCGAGACGATTGTTAATATTTTTGTACATACAAATCTGTATATTAGCTAAATCAAATCAAGCCGTAGAAAAATGTTTAAAATGATGTAATAACTATTTAATATTACAATGATAGTGTCTGTTACATTAAATGAAATATCGATCACTAAATTAATCTCGATTAGAAAAATTGTATCGCATCTACATTATTCGCTTCTTCACAATCTAGTAAATTATGAAAAAGTTTACATTCTCTTTATAGTAGCTATTTTTTTAACAAATAATTTTGAATAATCAGAATACCTAATTTCTTGTCTATTGAATCAACAGCTTCTTTGATCTGGTTTGATCAACGCTACGAAATTATATACTTAATGCTATTATTGTTCCAAAATATGTTCCAGAATGAGATAACAATAATGTGGAACATAAAGCAATAAAATCCATATGCCAAACATTAACAAACTTATTACCATCGTTACTTGGATATGTCAATATACGATATTTTTTATCTTTATGATATAACGATCTGATAACGCATGAATGTTGATGATGATCAAACATACATACATATATGCATGCATTCATATATACACACATACATATATATATATGTATGTATGTACATACATATATATATATATGACAAGTTGGTGCAGCAATTGCAGTAATAAATAGATGAATGAAAGAGAGGTAAGATGAACGCTGGTCAGTCAAGGGGTAAATGAACACGTGAATCACTAGCTGCTAATTTAACGAGTGTCTTCTTTACCCTAAGAATGGGTAGTCTGGCTGCTGGTTTCCCATGCCAACATTCTCGCATTAATTTTCCCATTCCAGCCAATGTCTGCAAAAGTAGTATTCAACTCCATTATTTGTGCATGTAATGTAATAAGTAATAAATAAAAATTCAAACTTGATCTACTTATTTTAATCGTTCCATTCTAATAAAAGTAATAACGAAAAAATTTACCGGGTCAGAATGCGACCTATTAGGGAGAGATGGCCTTCTCTGGTCAAACGAAACCAATTTACGCATTTCTTCTATGGAGGGTTCTTGATTACTGCTTGGTAACCATTCACTGTATGGCATTGCGTATTCTAAGGCTACACCGTTACTTATGCATCTGCGACAGACTTCCCATAGTATCAATCCTAAACTGTAGATATCAGCTCGTTTAAAGCTCTCTAAACATTCGACGTTTACCCTGGAAATGTGAAATAAGCACCATTGAGATTCAGCCAATTTATTTCAATGTAATGAAAGCAATTCACTTACGTTTGCTCAAGAATTTCAGGACTCATATAGCGTTTTGTGCTTTGTCGTAAGTCAACTCTGTCTGCTACAAGACGATCCTGAGTAGCTGCTAATGCGAAATCGGCAATTACACAACCACCATTAGTTTTGACAAGGATATTCTTCGATTTAAGATTACGATGAGCCATAGCTGGTTTTCCTTTGGTTCCATGGATCTCCGTGTGCAGATAAAGTAAACCGTTAGCAATACTCAGACAAATATTGAGCGTTTGATGAGGTGTCAATGGATGTGGCGACCGATTAAGATGATCAAAGAGCGAACCAAGAGGATGATACTGCACCACCAACCAGAGTTGAGTGCAACTGGCTCTACTGGTCATATCGCTACCGATGTATCCTAGAATATTGTCGTGTCTGGATGGTAATAGTTGAGAGTAAACCTCGGTCTCTCGAGCCCATGCAGCTTCGTCTCGTGAGAAGTAAATTTTTACAGCTACATTTTCACCATGCCAAACTCCTCTCCACACTTCTCCGCCAAATCCACCACTGCTACCACTACCGAGACACTCTACTAAAGCTACTTGCTTAGCTAAAGTTCTTTGTACTAACAAGGGTAATCCAGAACCAGAACCACTGGTCAAACTTCGTCCATCTAAGTACTCCTATAAAAATAATTGGCACTAGTTAAAATTAACTAGTGTATTTGTATTGCTTGTTATATATATATAATATGAGAAATATATAAAGCTATAATAAATATGAGAAAATAAGAATACGCACTTTAAGTGTACTATCACCAGCAGCCGTTGCTCTAAGCTCATGTGAATGATAAGTGGCAGATGATGTAGGTGAAGAAAATGAGAAATGCAACATAGATGGTTCAATTTCGGAATCGAGAATAAGCTTATTCCGACGTGGAGCCATAGGTCGTTTCCTTCTTATTCGGTGCACAAATAGACAAAGTGCAATTCCTCCAAAAATGAGCATCCCGCTCAGTAGTCCAAGAATCACAAATGTTAATCTTATTACATGATATTCCTTATCAGTATCTAAAAACAATATCAAAGCATAAAAATCACTAAATAAATTCCGCCATATTTTAACGCAATTCAGTGACACAATTTTATACGAATTTTTTATATTAACTTTGTTCAAAATTAATTATATAATATTTTATTTTAAATTATATCTCACTGGTTGAATCTTCCAACTTAGGATATGGTCCAACATTACAAAAATCTGCTTGACAACATTCCACAGAGAATTGAACACCACCTGATAAGCCTCTAACATTCCTTTTTTTATGATCTGTATTTTGGTTATTTTCTTTATTACACATCATTAATTTATGTTCTTCTGATTTATAACAGCCACGGCTAACATGCTCTTTACCATTGACTTCTCTCATCCTAGATTTCCAACACTGGAGAAAAACAAAAAAAAATATTCATTTGTATATAATAAGCATGTATGAAAAAGAATGTATGTAAATTTGAGAAAACTAGATAGAAAAATATAAGAATGTTTACAGTGATTGCATTGATGCAGACATTAGATTGCACACATTCGGTATCTTCACACATATGACATTTAAAACGTTTTTGACTGTTTGTATTGAAGCCAAGATTTGGATCCAAAGGTTCAGGTGAATCCGATTTCTCATCGCCAAAAGAAACGTCGTGGTCATGCAAAGCAATCTCTCGTTCACCTAGAAAATTAATAATTAAATGACATATAATATGCAATCAAATAAAATTCAAAAGCAGATATAAATAACTGGATACAAATAATTATTCAGCATAATGCATTGACAAAAATAATTGTAAAAAAGAAATTGGAAAAAATTGCAATTGAGTTCAAGGACACGCTCTGTACATTATAATAAATAAAAAAAGTTTGATGTTATTTATCATAAAGGGGGAGAATAGAGACTTTATCAGTCTATTAGTCAGAACTAAACGACACAGATGTGCAACTCTATAATAAATTATCAAAGATAGAAATATGTATTTACATCAATTGCAACAGTTTATCATCTTCGTACCTGAACATAATCTGAGTGTCAACAAGAGTATGACATGCGTGATAAATATAGCATCCGCCATTTCTATGCGCGTCAAAACACTGAACTACTCGATTCAAAGCGAAATTATATTGATAAATGAATCTTTCGCAACCTCCGTACGGCACTCGTCATCCTCGTAGTTCTCTCTTACGATTCGGCGAAATATTCTCAAAAGCGTGGAAATAATTGTCATTCGAGTAACGAGCGTTGACTCTATTTATGTCCAACACATAGTTTCCTAGAGCATCGATGCGAGAACTCGAGCTGTATCATCCGATCATCGTATGATAGAGTCGCGTACTCATCTTGTCAGATAAAAGCGAGCCTAGCTAGCATGAGCTAGCGTACCATTTAATATTGTCTAATTCGTTATTTAAACTTGTATTTAATCTCTCACACGTATATATCAAACACAAATGTTAAAATGTCAGACACAATTTTGAGTCATGATGCACGAATATTTAGACATGACGCGAGTGTATCCATTGAGGATTGCAAATAGAAGACCGGAATTGGACCAATCGGGTCAAACCTAACTAGTGTTACAGTTATCTGATTGGTCGAATGTTAACTTTAAATCCTCGAATGTTAATTGTGACAGAGGGCTTTACGTGAGCGATTAAGCTTAATTTTTATGTATTGTTCTGTCAATCGAAATGCATCTGCGTTGCAATAGATATTAAATTGTTTTAGCGAATTAATACGAGAATCAAATTCAATGAGAAAAGTGAAAAGATCCTCTGCCATTGCTCTCGATAGGCATAACAAGCGTACGAAATAAAAGGAGATTTTCGAGATGAACTCATGAAGGTTGATCTTAATCGTGCTCTCTCCGGAAGCGCTATTAGTAACCTTGGATAAAAAAACGTCGGGAAACATCTGATTCGAGATAGCAAGCACTGTGTACTTAATTTGACTTAATTGACTCGTATGTCTTCGTGTAACTCGAATATTAACGGAGACCACCTTTATGGAGCTAATAATATTAGCGCGTGACACAGTTATGAAGCCATTGCACTCGTAATCGGTTACGCTTGTTATGCGCTCGTCGAGATATATCATCGGTCCGAGTTTGATAATCGTAACCTTGAATGTATATTGCAATATATTGACGAGCGTAAATCGGTATCGGAGGTAAGGACGGAGAGTCTCGATCCATTGACTCCGCTTGATCCACGCGGGATAGGCGAGAGACCAGATAGAGTGAGAGAGAGAGAGAGAGAAAGAGAGAGCAGCGTGAGCAAAGAAGGTGTCAGGGGATAGCTGGTGCTAACCTAAGATGCAAACATTCGTGAACGTTGACGCGCTTATATTATTACTGAGAATTCATCTATTGTACTGGTCCCTTGGCACGGTAACGGCTAGCGGTGGAGCCCTCGATTCTACTCCGACCTTCCAAACTAGTGCCTCGAGCACTCCACATTCCAAAATAGCAGCTTTCTCTGCCACCCTTACCAATGGATTGGCCCAAGCGGTGGCTCATGAATCTGGTGAGAATCTCCTTGTTTCAAAATCATTTATTTGTAATTGGAGTGCCTTATAGCGTCTGATTAATTTGTTTCAGCTACAGACACCTGTAACGACGACCTAGCTTGCATAACTATGGCTTCTCACGATCGATTAGGTTTAGAGGCTATAAAATCTCTCCACAGTCAATTGGATGACGACGCCAATGGAAATGTCGATTTATCTGAATCCGACGATGTAAAGATATTTATATTGCTTTAGAAAATGTCTCTCACATTTATATAGACTGCTTACAAGGTAGATATATTTTTCATTTTGACAGTTTTTGAGAGAAGAGCTACAGTATGAAGCCGGTTATGAACGAAGACAAAGGGCTTTCCATCACAATGATGATATGCATATTAGCGTACGAGAACTCTGGGAAGCCTGGTTGCGATCAGAAGTACGACATCTTTTTATGTCAATTTTTATGTTGTAGATAGAAAAATCTCAACATTGAGATTTTTTGTTGACATTTTCTAGTATTATATATATATATATATATGAAATATGATGGTGTGCATATACATTGTTATATTTCTATATGTTAGGTTCATAATTGGACTATAGAACAAACATCAGAATGGTTAACTTCCAACGTTGAGCTTCCTCAATATGTTCCTACTTTTATACAGCACCGTGTAACTGGTGCTACGCTTCCTCGGTAAGTTTTGTTGTAATTAATAAAAGATAATATGATGTATTCTATATATAATACATATAATAAACTTCTTTAAACAAAATCATTTATTTTAGATTAGCTGTAAACAATATGCATTACCTTAGCAATGTTTTGGGTATCAAGGATCCTATCCACAAGCAAAAAATTGCTCTGAAAGCAATGGATGTTGTTCTTTTTGGTCCTCCTAAAGGTAAGTTAATATGCTCTAGTATCATTTATTTAATATCTGATATAAAACTATACTAAAATGTAATAATTAATAGATACTGGACACAACATCAAAGATTTGGTACTGATTACATTATCATTTGGAGCACTTATTGGATGCTGGTATGCATATCAGCAAAAGAAAAATTCACAAAAGCATCTTCATAGAATGATGAAGGACATGGAAAGTTTGCAAAAAGCAGAACTCGCGCTGGAAAATTTACAGGTATTTTTTTTTTTTGAAGATATGTATTGATCTTAACAAAATTAGAAATAAATACATATTAAGGTTGCATAATAATTCCAGAAAGAATTAGAAAGAGCAAGAATGGAACAAGAAAGTGCAGCTACTGAAAAACAGAATTTGGAAAAACGTTTGCAAGATGAAAGTTTGGGATTGCATACTTCATATTCAGATCTTGAAGTATCACAATTGAAAGCGGAAATCGAAGTTAATGTCGTTCTTTGTTTATTTTATATATACCATTACACATACCATATATGCAAATTAATACATTCTTATCAATCTATTAATTTGTGTATTTACAGATGTTGAAGTTGGAATTACAGCGTGCTGAGGGTGAACTTGAAGATAGATGCTGGTCACCACCAGCTGGATTGCAGCATTGGCTACAAATGACTCATGAAATTGAGAACAAAGCATATACCAATAAAAAGATAGCAGCTGAAAAACAACTTCAACAAGCACGTGAAGCGGTAAAAAAAACTAACTTTTATATCATTTCATGCAATTAATTTAATATTTGATATCGCATTATCTCAATTAATTTAATATATATATATATATTATATTGAGTGAATTAACCACTGATCTATTGACTGGATACATTCAATAGATCAGTGTATTCGTACATTTGTACAATCGTACTCAGCCATACTGAGATAAGAAATGATACCATTGTATGTATGTGTGTGCGTGTGTGTGGACGTTGCCATATTGAAAATTAGATTCTAGCACCTTTAAACTTTAGGGACAAAACTACTTACATATATAATGAATTACTGGTAAGTTATCATCTGTCTGCGTCATAAGATATCTTAAATCAGTATTTTAAATAATTTTTACAATTTTAAATTGTCATTTTGTTATATTTTTTGTAAATAATACAAGGCAATTTTTATTATTTTTATAATTAGTATTTAACTGTTAGAAATTACTCTCTAATAAAAGCTTTTCTCAACAGTAGAGGAGAAGAAAATGTAATATATAAGTTCAGAGATGTCAATGTCTAATTCTCAATATGGTGCACCATACGATAGACACTTTGTTACAAAGAAAAAATTTTATCTAATTTGATATAAATCTATTGAATAAAAACATAATTTAAGATAATAAAATAATATCATTTTTCATATATAATATAATATATAAAATTTATTTATTTTTTATATTATAGTGCGAAAAATTGCGAAAAAAGCGTTCCAGCCTAGTAGGTGCCTTCGTTTCGACTCACGGGAAATCTATCGATGAAGTTGATAAGAGTATAGTTGAAGCAAGAACTGCACTGAATGAAGTAACAAATGAGTTGAAAGAAAGAGTACATCGTTGGAAACAGATTGAACTACTCTGTGGTTTCAATATAATTAACAATAATGGTTTAAATTATTTAGAGACAGTTTTATATAGAGGGACACCTAATGGTAGAGGTCTTGGACTTAGAGGTATTTAATTCCATATTAAAGTAAAATAATCCATATTATCATTCTTGTAGTTGCAACAGAAAAATGTTTGTAAACTTTTTATGATTTTCTAAAATTCTAAATGATTTGTATGTAATATATTACAGGACGACTCAGTAGCCAAGATGATTTAGATGATGAGGCAAGTTCAATGTATACACCGTCATCGGTCAGTGCAGTCGCAGGTAAGCTGGATACGGATTCCAATGAGTACTTAGATTGATATACCAATGCTCATTTTATTATTATCATTGTGGCCTGTTTATACGTCGCATATGTATATATACGTATTGGTCACATGGTACTGAATCCTTTTTTATGATAATTTACTAATGAGTTGAATTTTATGTTTAATAATAGAGAAAATATTTTTTGTAGTATCGATAACTTTGTACCAATAACAGATATGTGACATAAAGTTTCTAATATAATTTGTTAACATTGAAATATCATGTGCCTTAAGTGTACATTGTAACCACATATAATAACATGTACATATAAGGAATGCAAGATGCAATCCAATTTTGTATATGTTGCCTAATAAGTAAGAGATTATACAAGTAATAATAAACGTTGCCATTACTGTGCCAATATATGCTAATACAGCGATATATTTTGAATATATACGTGTGAGATGGAAAGTAAAATTTATTTTACAAATACTCATGAATTGGTTAAAATTAGAGTACGGTTAACGCGATGTTACAAATGTTCTAAAGCGTTTTTTTGATTGGTCAATTCCTAAAATTTTTTTCTTCTAATTGATCAATCAAACGCTTCAAAGCATTTATAGTGAGACCTTGACCGCAGCCTTAGTGACTGTATGACAAGTAGTCAACTAAAGAAGATGATATATCAAGACAATGCTATGACAGATAATATTGAATTTATATAGTAATGTGCATAAAATATGGAAGTTATAGAAGCTTCTATGTCTATGTATGTATTTTGTTTTATGTACAATCTATTGTTTTAGCATGTTTATCGTTTTTAAAGATTATGTTTTTTCTAAGATATAATTTTGATTTTGATGATTTGATAATATTTAATGATTTGATTAATAGTAAGTGGCAAAATGATCAACCTAACATACACAGTATTTTTATTATATACATACTTAATGCTATAAAGAAAATTATTCATCATATAAATTGTAAAAGAAATCTATTATATTTACATAAAGGAATACGATGAATTTTTCTTTAAAAAATATTGACATTCCAGTTATTTGTTTATAATTATTATGACATTAGTATTAGATCTGACTGTACATTAGTATTAGATCTAACATGTACATGACAATAGCTCAAGAATTATTAATTAAAAAAACTATCAATTAG